GGGTGGGGGAGAAGAGGGTGGAGGGAAACTGTTGGGATTACAGTGTTATTTTACATGGAAAACTCTGAATTAGCTGTTTGAGGACGCAGTGATAAAGAAGAAACCAGATGTTGCCTTCCAGCTTCTAATACACCTAATTTCTGGAGTTACCATAAGTGTTTTAGGCTGGTGTCACAACACAATGTCAACAGCAATGTTTTAAATGACAAACCATGCCTGCAAAATGACCATGTTTCTCTGAATTTTAAGGGAAACACTTTTTCTCAGTTAAACCCTTAGCAGCCCTGTGGTTTTGCCCATCTCCTCAGGAACATTTAAAGCACTCTTCTTCTTATAAACAGTTTAAAATCATAATGGTAAACATACAGGCCTAAAGCTAAACTTCCATTCCTTACACTTGTGTTGGTTATTTGCAACAATACCAGAAATGTTTACCAATCCACCAGCACAGTTTACACTGAGATCCCCCACTCATTTACCTCTTGTGCCATGATTAATTGTTGGCCTAACTGAAGGAAGAGAAAGACAACGACATGGCTTGTGCACCAAGATCTTCTGCTGACAAAACTGCAGTTTTCAAATATGATTCAAGAAATCAGTTATAGACTCAGTGTTGTAGATTTCTTCTGGCTTTTTCAGTATATTGCAGTGCTTTTACTAAGTGCCTCAAGAGCTGCTAAATCAAGTGGTGATAAAGACTTTATGTGTGATAGCTCTTTCTGGACAGGTAAAGAAGGTGAGGTGCTGGACAGCAGCTTTCAAAACCAGCTCTGGTTTTTTTCTAGAGCCTTCTAGAACAGCCCTGTTGCTGTTTGCAAAGGACATAACAGGGTGTGAGTCCCAGAGATCACAGAAAGGTGCTATACCAACCAAAGAAAACTGTCTGTGCAAGAATGTGCTTCCCTCTCAAAGAGGATTTCAGGTCTATAAATTTACAAATCATGCTTTCCAGCACTGAGTAGCAAATACAGGCGGACTATAAAGCAAGATTCACTTTAAGATGATTCACTTTAATATTTTTAATTTTCACCAAACATGAGGGCAACTGGTAACAACATCACTCTTTAAGACAAAACTGGCACTGTTATCAACAGCAGGACAGTCCTGCAATAAACATTATAGGAAAACAATGAGAGCTGAAAAAAAATAAAATAGCCACAACTTCAGGGAAAAAGCATACAAGTTTCTAATTTCAATTTAAACTCTCTGTGTAGTTTTTCAGCGGCCTTAGAAAAAAGAAAGAATGTAGATCCTAGTGACCAAGAGTATGAAGATATTTCACAGCAAGTTCAGAGCTTTCTAGGGTTTTCTTTGATTTCTTGAAACAAAACATGAAACAAAGAAATTATTCCTCCAGTTCATTCAGATAAAGAATTATCTCTGAAAGCCTACCATATATCACCATTTTCACAGAGTTGATGGTTCCAGATGAGGAGTGCTAACTGGAACAAGAAATATGGATTTCAGAGGGAATCTTGTCAGGTATGTAGTCTGAAAGAGAACTGGTTGTACTTCTATATGCTACAACCTCAGTTAAAATGACACCAAGCATTGCATACGTTACATCAGCATGAGGTGTTGTCTACCAGGAGTCTACTGGAGTTGGTAATGGACTCCAGAGCCATCTCTTGGAAATTTACCCATCATTTATATTATTTCAATTGCTACAATTCAATTCAATTGCAACTTAAGTTTACTAGCTGATATGAGTATTTCCTAAGCTTCTATTTGATGGATGGGTAAAAATGAAATAGTATGGACCCATCCACAAAAAAAGGCCACTTCCTAATGACTGATAAGAAGTATTTTGGAATATTTTGGGTTTACCTTTCAGTGATTTTCTTTATTTAGGTTTGTAGGCTGTGATTGTGAAGGGTGCCCACAACAGACACAGAAATCAAGACATATTTATTTATACTTTGAACAGAAGCCAGATTGCAAAAGCTCCTATTTGAAAATAAAGAAAAAAAGGAAATGTCTTTCCATTTTCCGAGTGTCTACAATTAGCTTAGCTGCTCACATTTTCCAGGAGCTTTTGGTTTTTTTGGGGTTTTTTTTTTTGTTTTCAAATATATCTTCTTTTTTCCAGAACCCACACACAGGAGTTTGACAATCTCATCACTGCCATTTTAAGGCCACTATCACCTCTTTCCAAAATGCCTCTGTCCTAGAGCACTCCCAAGGCACATCCTGGAGAGTTCACTTCCTCACGTGTCACACATGTATTTTTGTCCTTGTGAAAATGGATTTGGAGCTCTGGACAAGATTTCTAATAAAAAAAACAAAACAGTGACCTTCATTCTATTTCCTCCTATTTTATAGTCTCTTTGCTTACCTGCAAGAACCTAGCTCATTCTTACCCCAATTTACTTTATTGCTGCTCTGTTACTTTATATATATTTTATTATGTACTTACTACGTGTTTCATAAAGTCCCCTTAGAAGATTAGAAATCTAAGATTGCTGGAAAAACCCTGCCTTGCCTTTAGCACTACCCCCATCTTTGGAAGTAGTGCTGCTGCTGATACAGAGCTGTGTGGGTCTAAGAAAAGGGTAGGGTTAAGCACAGACATCTCCTGGTCAAAAATCATGGTAGGATTAGTCAGTTCCTCTACACAGACTCCACTTTTTTTGCGGGGGGGAGCATTCTAGAGGTGACCTGGCCTTTGTGAAATGGACAGACGTACATCCACTGATTCATACAAAAATAGTTGTTAGCTACATGAGTAAGAGAAAATATAACATTTAAGACATCCAGCAAAAATCTCAGGGCTAAACTTCAATTATTAAACTGTATTGTATGATTGGTATGGAAATAAGCATAACCTATACTTCCCAACGTGAATAAGGTGGAGTCGAGATTTAGACTAAAGAACTTTTGTAACATGTAGCAAGCTGTTTGAATGAAAGACACACCAATCTGAGACAGGGAAAGCAGAAGAAAGAGACATTAAATGTGTTTGCAGTGGCATCTAGTTTAAAGTAATGCACTATCTGAACGTAGCACATATTTTGTGGTCATCCTTGCTGCTGTATGAAATATGCAGCCATTGCTTATGAGGGATTATAATCAAGAATGGAATATGTTTTGCAGTTCTAACATGCTTAGAAGTTATCTCACCTGCATCCTGGTCCATGTGAAGCCTTAATCACAGCCACATGCACACATGTCAAAACAAAACAAAACAAAACAAAACAAAACAAAACAAAACAAAACAAAACAATTTAATCTAAACTTGCATTTAATTTGCACATTACTATGTTTTTTAAATATATTAAAAGTGGTCCAAGCCCTTGCAAACAGTTATGGGTCATTGGGAATTACGTAATTTTTTTAAATAAAAATAAAAATACAGGATGCTTCTTCTCCAGGACATTAAAAGAACTCAGGCAGTCTTCACATTGCAAATTATACTCACAGGAACAAAATAGTTATCTACAGTAAGACCTCAAAAAAGACAATATTTTTCCCAGTAAAATTCCTTTTTGGTCAGGTTCCTGCTCACAAAATTCTCAGTGATTAGGATAGGGCTCTAAAGCATGTGCATCAGCAGTGTCATGGAAGGATGCATATGGAGTAAACCAGCATCTAGCTTGGATTTTACTCATGGTAGATGAGCAGCAGGCAGTATAGCAGGGGCCAACCCAGGATATCTGTCTGAGCTACTTGCGCAATGCTGAGTCTCATTGCAGTTCTCACTTTTCCTCAAGCTAGGAGTGTTCTCCTCTTACAGCAAAGGGAAGATGGTGCATCCTTTTCCCAGGAGAGACACTTCTCAACTATAGAGCAATTCCAAACTCACCTGTCTTCCCCCTTTTGTTCCCTTCATTTCTTCATGAGAGGATCTGTGTAGTTTCCCAGTGAGTGCTGTCTTAAAAACTTTTTTCCATTCTTTTTTCTGTACCTTATTTGTTGTATTGATCATGCGTGTGATTTATTTGTATAAAGCAACAAAGGAAGTTATCCCTACTGCATGAAAATATACAAAGCTATGTCCTGATGTAGGTCCACCTATGTATAACTAATAGATATTTTGATATAAACCTGGAACATTCATATTCCCATCCAGTTGATCTTTAAAGAAAAATGACCAACTGGTCCACTTGGGTCTACATTCCTTTGTAAAGTCTGTATAATAGTGACAAGCATCCTATTGCAAGCTTTCTTATGATATTGTCTGGGGAATGCTGCTGGCCCATTAAATCTTTTTCAGTCTTTCTTTTCCACGCCTACTACTTTCTGCTGAAAAAATTCTTAGAGGACACCTAAAAGAGGCCTGGGACTTCTTAAACATCACAATTCCCTAGAAGATCACAGTTTTGCCAGGGAGAATCCCTGGTAAATCTCTCCTCAAACTAAAACAAAAAAAGCAGCCTCCACCCCAGCATAATCTTCCCAGGAGAGACACCACAGGTGTTCCAGAAAATTCCATAGCCCAGGCTAGCCCCAGTGTGTTGCAGAGTATAATGTTCTCTGAAACATCCTGACAAGAAGAGAGACTCCACAGAGACTCAGGTGGTACCCAGCCAAGCTGTGTCTTATTTTACAATTTCAGTAGGAGTAACCCGATAATTGAGTTTTGCTAGTCATTTTCAATGTAAATCTTCATGACGCTTAGGCAGAAACAGAAGCACCACATCCTGATGCACCCTGATGCACAGCTTGGTGTTTGATGCAGAGTAAGTTATTCATGAGGGGGAAGTGATGAATTCTTAGGGCACAGTTGTGCCTGAAGAAGCTGGGACTACAAAGGGGAAGTGGTGGGAAATGGGAAGAATAGTAGTATATGAGAAGGTCACTTCGTATGAGGTTGCAGTAAGTTCACATGCAATTTGCTCTTTTACCTAAACTCAAGAGGAGACAAAAACACTTGATAACTCCTTAGTTGTATTTATCTCTATGAAATAACATCTTCTGTTTCTGCACTACTGTAGCACTTGCAAGAGCTAGCAAACTTTGCTAAGCACTGCGCAGACACTTTGCAGAAACACAATGGCTGCCGAGAGGGGCTTCTAACCACAGTGGATTTCTGTTTACTTTGTGACTGAACCTGTTTACCTCAACATTTTTTTCACCTTCTGACATGGAGGAATATGTTTTCAGTGAACCACAAAGGGACTTAGTGTTTTGGGATCTGGTTAATTATTATTTCTCATTATTGGTCTCCTGTATTTTATGGTATATGACAGTAACAAGAGAGACATCTTGCTGCGGGAAGCAGTATAGTGATCTACCAGGTAATGGTATCCCAGGGTTAGGAAGTAAATAATTTCACCTTTTTCAGAGGCTCCAAGAAGAGGCAAACTTGATTTTGAACTGAGAGATGAATTAATGTCCTTAGCAGAGACTAAGCTCTACCTTTGCTCCAATTACAAAATTTAAACATTTGAAGCAAATTGTACCAGAAGCGTGTTGTTAGCTGGGGATTTGCGTGAATGGGTGTTTTCTTAGCACTACCCACACCTCACGGATGCCTGTGGGGAAAGCTATCACGAAGAGCAGAAACGAAAACGGGCCCTTATGGCAAAGTTGCTGTTCAGGAGGAGGCTGCCTGCTGTTCCACATGTGAAACAACAACAGATGGGCAGCGTTATATTTCTCTGATAATAAAATGACCTAATGCTCTATTTAGAAAACTAGAAATACTTCTCCCTGACTGTTTACGGATTTTAGAAAGATCATGATAAGCAAACCCAGAGTTCAAAGCTGTGATATAAAGGACAAGTGGATAAATAATGACCCAAGTTTGTTACGAAACATAGTGGAACTGTTGTATAGTTAATATAAACACAGATGACCTTTATTTTTGCTCATTTTTCTTCACTGAAACAGGAAACAGAAGATAATCTTTGTCAGCCAGTAGAATCTTCCACTTTGCTTCTACTTTGGAACTGTGGGGCAGATTACTATGCTGTGTTTAGGAGTATGACAGTGCTACTTTCTTTTCCAAACACATGCTGAAAAAGCGATATGATTTGAGGAGACAGATGTACATATAGTTTTGGGTAGTCCAAGGACTGCACCCACTACAGCAAAAAGAACACACTCCTATTGCTCAAAAGTAGGGCCTAAAATTATAACCACTGTGGCAAATTTACACTTATGCAGTTTGTATATAAAATAATCAAGGAAAACAAATGGGTTTTCTATAGCAGGAATTACTTATGCTCCTTAGCATGAAGGAATTTGAAGTTATTTGGTTTGTGAAGGTTAAGACTGATATCCAGCAACCTGTTTTAGAAGAGGTTGTATTGCCATTCTGCTTTTGTTTTTGGTCCCTTCCTTGTGTTGACAAGGGACAAACAAAATAATGTGGGAAAGAACCAACCTTGAAAATCTAGGAGACTTTAAGTTCTAACTTTGAAGGCAGATCAGCTTCCTGATCTGTCTGATCATAGGTGCATGGGCACGAGAGTTGGTATAAGATGCCATCAACAGCTGGGAACAGGGAGGTAAGCGTGAGGAACACAGGACCATCTTCTTATTTTCTGCACAGACCTTTATTATCTTCAAGAAACTTTAAAATTGAGAAAAATTACTAATTTATTTGCACTACTACAAAGGTGAGGCCTCAGCCAAAAGTTAGGGTCAAATAATTCTGAATAATTCTGGGAGCTGCTTGCACCCAAAATATGCCTCAAACTGTATTCTGAATTTCTGTCAAAAAAACTTACTAAAAGTTAGTAAGTAATTTTACTTAGAATTACTTAGAAAGGTGTAAAGCAGAAACATTGTTAACCTGGTATGACTTTTTCTCAAGCTTGCATTGAACCACTGCAGCTCCTCCTCAAGGTCTGAAATCTTCCAACATAAGGGTAAGACATTTTCCTTCCTAAATTAGCAGGACTATGCATTAGAAATCCTAAAGCACAATGAAACAGAGACAATGGACTTGTTGTACCACTCCCATACAGACCTCCCACCACTTCCTCTCTCCCACCAGGCAGGCTGGCAAGGGTAAAACAATCCTGCCCTTTCTAGAGATGCCAGATATCTTGGAGAGACTTACGATGTCTGAGAAGAAGTGGACAGGAAAGCATCATACAGTCAGTGGGTGTAAGGCAGATCTGTGTGTGGGACTGGGAATCACAGTCCAAGGAAAGACTCTTTTCCATACACCAAGAATCAGCAACCTGACCTTCAGGGTTATATTACCTGCATCTAATTTGAAATGGCATGTTCTTGGCTCACTGGGGCCAGATGCAATGAGAGGGATGGGCACTGCGTGCCCATCACAGCTCTGACCAGGAATGAAAGCTATGCTGTTC